TCATCATAAAATATCTGTAATCTCCAAGGTACAATTTATGCACTATAGCTGTTAACATCAATATTGGTGATATCATATCAAGTCCATTAGTGTATAGTTTGAAGTTAAACTAGAAGTAAATAGAATCACCTTTCAACAATGACACTGAATATTGATTGATCAAAACAATAAAATGAATGAAGGTCCTAACTTAATAATCATTACAAGATTAGTATATTCTGAATTGTATCACATTCTATCATATTGATAAATCTTCTGATTGAATGCTTGAATCAGTTTCTTCTAATAACCCAAAGCTAAATCTACACAACAATGTGAACATCAAAGAAAAGGTGCTAAATCTGGAAAGAATGCTTTACTCCATGGTTAGCTTATATACAGACAATTGGAGATATTTACAGTATTTCAAATAACCTTGATCTTCTGGAAACATCTGAAATCCTATTCAACATAATAACAGGATATATAATCATCCAATCATTAATGTTATACGTGACATTTCACTTTCTAGATGTCTCTGAAAAACGTCTATTTACACCTAATAGAATAAAATGTATCCCAGCATTTTCAGAGTCCTTCTGGTCTCTCCCTCAACACACAAAAACTGAAATATCTCTATATTGATTTGATTTGTAAAGTACGTTCTCCATTATTTTACTAGACAAATCAATAATATTCAATGAGAATATTCTTCAGGCATGATACTATCATTCATGGACAATCTTTGGAAGCGTTCACCTAGTAACTAGGACGAAATGGGGGTTATAAACCAGTTTAAGGTATTAAAATTGTGATTTACAATTGATGATTAAGGTTAAGAATTAGATTTCAGGGTTTTCATCATGAACTGACATTAACTATAATACAAAAAGTCTATTTTAAAAAAAATGGATAAATGAATTTCGCGCCAAAAATTTCAGACTTGTTATCTTACACCTGATTGGTTCATTCATAAATTAGAGCCTCGCCTCCCCAGATTAAATCAATAAACGGAAATGGGTTTTTTTTTGTTGTCTCCTATCAACTACCTTTTTTTGTAGTTTTAGTAGATTAGTTAAAGCAATAACCAGAAAAGAAACAAAAAAATCTATGCCAGAATTAATCCACATTTATGTAAATATATAATACATAGGCATAGATACAAAGATGTAGACGTAGACCCCCCGGTAACTAAATTGAAAAATTCTATTGGAGCCATTCATAATTTACTAATAATTATTTTATGATTAAAATACATCATTATTGAAGAAAAAAACTGGTGACTTTATAAACAATGTGTGGACAATGACTAGTAATGGAATCTAGTTTGATACATGTCATTTCGTCCTATTTGAGACTCATCAGCTGGATGTACCTGCATCACAGACTTGTTAATGTGTCGTGTTTGTTTGTTTGTTTGTTTGTTTGTCTTTCATTCGATTTTATGAAATGAATATTCTTAGATTCATTTGCTAATAGAAGGGGTTTTGTGGAGATTGTAGTAATTTCAACAGTTGAGATCATGAGTCAATTGAAGGTAGACCACCATGGAAAACCTGGGAGCACTGGGCGGCCGTTTCGTCCTATTGTGGGACACCTCAGTAGTGCGCATCCATGATTCGAACCCAAGGCTTATCAGCCTTGCGCCAGGCGCTTAACCAACTAGACCACTGAAGCTACCGGCATCCAATGGTTTTAATCTCTAACTTCAACTAATCCACGTACGACACATCCACCATTGTCATCAGTGATTTACTATCTCACAACTGACCCGGTTGAACTCCATTTGGTATTGTTTACTTGTATATTCCTATTGTTGTTAAGAACTGCAATTGATCAGTCTCTTATTGGCATATATATATCCTGTACGGGTTGCCTCGATTATTGCCTTATGTTACAAGCTTTTTAAGCAAAAGGATTCTTGAATGTTTTGATTATGTAACTGGTTTAATTCAGTTGAAGTGTAGGGAACCTGACATTGAATAACTTTAATAGCTGAAATCATCGGGAAAAAGAAATGAACATTTTCATAGTTCCAGCTGGTTCAACAAAATGTACAGTAGTGTCGTCAAATAAAGGTCAATGATCAATTTAATAACAATAACGATGGATTAAAACTACTGATGATAAAATCTATTGAAATGATTAGAATAAAACTATACAACTTGATTAGTTTCTTTTTGATGGAGTTTTGTTCTCTGAGCTGGATGGTTTGGTTGTGGAGCTTTAATTGTTCTTCTAAACGACATCATCAGCACAAACTTCAGATAGAAGTGAAGTGTTCGAATTTCTCCACATGTGGTTCATAGCTTATCCTGTAGACCTCGATGTTGATTGGTTCTTGTTGATCCTAAAACTGTCATTGTTTACTTACTTGTTTTGACTGTATCTCCCATTAGTTTGATTTTTGTTCCTATGTTTGTGCACAAGTTTCCTGATTGGTTGGTAAATTGGATCGATTTCATTGTGCATGTTGATTACTGATTAACCTGAATATCAAGCCCCCAAAACTTACCTGGTGTTTTTGAAATTTCCAAAATTCCCACATTTTATAGTCAAATGAAAGTCCTCAGTTGTCCACGTTACTTACTTCCTTACGCTTGTTACCCCCCCCACCGATGGAACATAGGTCATCGACCAGAATTCTCCAACCCACTCTGTCCTGGACCTTCCTTTCTACTTCTATCCAATTGTTGTTCATTTTTCTCATGTCTGTTTCCATTTCTCGGCGTAACGTATTCTTTGGTCTTCCTTGTCTTCTTCGGCACTGAGGATTCCATGTGAGGGCTTGCCTCGTGGCGCAGTTGGGTGCTCTCCTCATTGTGTGTTCTATCCACTTTCAACGCTGCTTTCTGATTTTGGTTTGTTTTCTCCCAAAGTAGGTTGTTGCAGTCAGTGTCTTGTCAACGTATCCGAAGTATTTTGCTTAGACAACTTGTTAATAAACACCTCTATCTTTTGGATGATGGCTTTCGTAGTTCTCCAAGTTTCCGCTTCATACATTAGAGGTGTCTTGATATTTGTATTGAAAATCCTGACCTTGGTGTTAGTTGATAGTCGTTTTAAGTTCCAGATGTTCTTCATTTGTAAATACGCTGTTCTTGCATTGCCGATCCTTGCCTTCACATCTGCATCAAATCCACCCTGTTCATCAATGATGCTCCCCAGATATGTAAATGTTTTTACATCTTCCAAATCTTCTCCGTCAGGTGTGATTGGGTTGGTGCATGCTGTGTTTTATCGGAGAACCTTGCTTTTCCCTTTGTGTATATTGAGACCTACTGCTGCTCAGGCTGCTGCCAGACTGGTAGTCTTCTCCTTCATTTGTTGTTGCGTGTGAGATAGAACTCCACTTGGAGCTCCTCTGGGGCTACTGCCGGTTCCAAGCCCGGATAAAAGAGGAGGGTTGGACATGGGGTTAGTAACCCAACCCGTAGAAAACTATCTCGCTAAAAGAACGCTAACTAGTTGTCCATATGCATTGATATAAGTGAGGAAATGTCATGGCGCTTGACTGCTAATTGATGTTCATGCAGGCGAAGACGACGAGGGTGTGCGCTTTGTGCTGATGATGTCGTTCAAAAGAGCGATGAAAGCTCCACGACCAAACCATCCAGCCCAAAAACAAAACTCTATCAAAATCATCCACCTGAACTATAAATTTTCTCCACCATCTCAAAACCTGAACAGTCTTTACAACAGACTTTGTCACTCCTTGGAACTCAAAAGAATAGAATAGAATAATGAAAGATCTAATCGAAGTATATAATTATTCTATGAACTGGTCAGTGAAGATAAAGAAATCCTTACTAGACAATAATGAAGAAATTGTATCCTTTGATGTCACAACCTTTTTTCCTTACAACGGCTCAGCAACGATGAACCACACATAGAATACAAGTTTAATTGAACTGATCTATGTTTCAAAACATTTTTCTAATACAATATAACCGCGAACAATGTAGTACTCATTGTGAAATACGTTAAGCTGAGTTTTATTCCTCTGAAGTATTATTGCTATGAAATTCCAATCAATTGACCAATAATCTTTCAAAACTTTTTTGTTTTACAATGAATCTTTTAATGATTTCAATCAGTTTAAAAGAATCTAACTCAGAATTAAACATATGGTATGTGCCCCCAAATTCTCTGGTACGGTCGAGGATGAGGAGAGTCCGCCGTCCCGCTCAAAATGCTCTCACATGGCCGCCCGTATACAGCCACTGTAAGAGAAGTCCTACTCACTGCCTTCTCGCGTTATTACTATTATTTATGAAATGGAGAGGAGGAAAAGCGAATGTCTAACACTTTCACCGGGTTTGTGGATATGGAGAGTTCACCTAGGAGGGGAAATGGAAAACCTTGATTCCAAATCAATGGTGCACATGGAAACCAGGATCCTGAAGAAACACATGACTTATGAATTATTTATTGGTCACCGACTACCATGGGATTGCATTTCTTTACATTACTCCAATGGCTTGTTGATCGGACCTTTAGATCGAAGGCTTCGGGTGTGGCCCCGTAAGAAAACTACCTGTTTCGGTTTGGCCACCTTGGCAGCATCACATCCTACATACAAATCAAGTGACTTTTGTGGCGCATATGTATTCGGTTCCCCTTTGTGCCAATATTTGTGTTCGAATAAATAAATAACAAATGGTATAATACAAAATATATCTCGAATAATTAATTAAACAATGATGTTTATTTCGTCCTAGTATGGGTCTCCTCGTGAGAACACTGAACCGGTATTCAATCATGTTAATGTCAATCTTTAGCCAATCCACGAAATTGAGCCATCGTCCATCATTGTCTTCAGTGAGCGGGGTCGTGAATGTCGCACTGCTGAGTACCGTTATACTAGGACGAAGCGACTATCCAGTACTTCCAGGTTTTCCATAGTGATCCAGCTTCAGCTAATTCATAAAATTTAATAATTAAAATGACTACAATCTTCACAATCCTCCCTCCTCTCTCTCTATCTGATACATTTTATAATATAGATTGTATTGACTTACCACTTTCAGCTGCTTTCCATAAACCTTTTTTAAAGATCATTTTTAATTTACGTTTCTTTTCAAAATCTGTCCCGAATACAGTTATAATTAATGTAGGTGGTTTTAAACCCCATTTACGTTTAAGAATATCACGTAATACAGAATCTGGTGTATCACTATTTAATTTACAAAACTGAATAAGAAGAAAAGAAGAAAAAGAAAAAGAAAAGAGACATGTCAATACATATTCTATAAACGATTTGATATGATCTTATTGAAATCATGAATTCATCAATAGTATTTGATCTACATTAAGAAGTACTTGACATAGATGACATTGATCACCCATCACCTAGTGATTAATCAACTGTGAATACATCTCAGTCCTATAGGAGGTCAGTCATATGACAGATAGTCCAGTGGTAACATATCTGAGTGTGAAGCTGTGTAACACATGAGAATCTGTTCCCTCAAGATTACAGGTACACCCTACTGGCGAGTGCCGAATAGCACGAAACCCGGGTCCAGGGTTTGCTATTGACTACCTTCAACTAACATCTTGTTTCAACATAGTGCGCGAAATACCAAGTCACCTTGACTAGTGGTAGCATTGCAACTTGGTCGATAGGATTCGATCGGCACTAAGAAGGACTTGACACACATGACAATGATCACTACCCCTTGATCAATCAATTGCGATTTAATCAATGTTAGACAACTATTGAAGATGATTATTTAATATTATAAATCGGTTGGAGTTAGATAGTGAACGATGTTGAATCCTTGTTCAGTGGTTTGTTTGGGGGTTAAAGATCCGCGCTTGAGACTCGACTACCTGGGTTCGATTCCTGTGTGTGTGTGAGATGGTGCATGCGTGAAATGCTAAAGAGTCACATACTACGACAAAATGGCAATCTAGTGCTTTCAGGTATTTAATGATGGTTTAACATGGATCGGTTTATGATTTGAATTCAAATTAATAATCTTAACAGCCCTCATGAAAGTAAATCTCTGACGATTAATCAATGAAAAAACAAAAAATGGCAACTATTTGTTACCCTTTTCAATTAAACTTTAGATGTTAGTGGTAAGTTATTAACATTGAATGATGAGTAGCAATTTAGACTTATTAAAGAAATTAGTAAATATTATTGCTGTTCACCACTGGACTCGAACCCAGCAGGTACATCCAGCTGGTGAAGTCCTAAATAGAACGAAACGCGTGTCAAACTTGATTCCACTACTACTAGCCACTAGCCACCTTTGCTTGAAATGCTTGCGACTTAATAGTAATCTCGAGGGCCATCCGTACAGGATGCACATATAACATCCTAAACAACAATTGGAAGATACAACTAAAACAACACTAAGTAAATTTGAATTCAGTGCTCTTTCTTCTTATATCAAAACACCAGGGAATAACAACCCAGTCAAACATGTATTGCTATTTAATACCTTCCATTATGCAAATTACTTTTTCCTATTTTTTTTTCTTCTTTTAAGTTTCAGATATAGATTGTTCTTAATATCTACTTTGATATTCAGACAAGATAATTAGAATACTACTCTGATATACTGGAACGTTGTATGTTGGTTCACACACACATACATACATACATGTATATTCAGTTACTTCTGTACATATCCATGTATTGTTTATCACTGTTTGTGTTATTTCGTTGTGGTAAACAGTTTCTTCTTTAAACAAACTATCATGTCCATAAAGGAAACTGATAGGATAAACAGAACATAGATCGTTTGACAAATAAAGAACATGTCAACTTTATTGAAATTGATCTATGTAAGTAGTGTTCTCAGGGGAGGATGAAATCAGGAAGAAGCGATGGAAGTGGATAAGACACACATTGAGGAATGCATCCAACTGCGTCATAAAGAAAGCCCTCACTTGGAATCCTCAAGACCAAAGGAGAAGACGAAGATCAAAGAACACATTACGCCGAGAAATGGAAACAGATATGAGAAAAATGAACAACAATTGGATAGAAGTAGAAAGGAAGGTCCAGGACAGAGTGACTAGGTTGGAGAATGCTAGTCGATGGTCTGTACTTCATTGTGGGTAACAGGTGTAAGTAAGTAAGTAAGTAGTGTAAATGATTGCTTAGTTATAACACATATCAACATATACAAATGTATAGATAAATGTAACATTCATTAAAGGATTGAAGATTTTATGTCATCTAATCCCTGAATGATAATTTGTTCTTGTTTAACTAAACTTTCCATATAAAATAGTCATATACAGACCATCATGAAAAACCTGGAAACACTGGATGGTCGTTTCGTCCTATCACGGAACTCTTCAGTAGTGCAAATCCACGATCCCGCTTCGCGAGATTCGGACCCCGGACCAATCGGTCTGAAGTGCAAACCTGTAACCTTTAAGCCAGTGAACTTGCCAGCACCATGAGTCACAATGACAAATTCTTTATCTTTCAATAAATTACATAATTTCTATCATTTACTCATCAATAAATATTGTTTACATTTAGTTTAGAGAAACATGAATTAAAGTAGAACATGATTATTATCAAATGTCAATTGAGATCATAAAGTGACCAATGTTAGACCATCATTATAAATCTGAAAATAATGAACAATCGTTTTATCCTAGTATAGGACTTCCTAGCAGTACGTATCTACAACCCTACGCACTGGACTCGAACCCAGGAGCTTAAATCTCGTGCAAACTCTTAACCTCTTTCAGGTTTTCAATGACGGTCTAACAGTAAACAGTTCATGATCTCGACTGAAAATCAACAATCTCCACAACCTTATACTGATAGTATTATTGAATTATCATTATGGAGATTTATGTAGATTGTAGTATTTTCACAGTTGAAATCATGAGTCTATCAATATTAGACCACCATTTAAAAACCTGGAGTTATTAGCATTATATGCAAAGATGTATAGTGGCTAGCAGTGGAATCTAGTTTGACTTGCATTTCGTCCTATATGAGACACGTCAGCTGGATGTACCTGCATCTTAGATTTCATGTTCACTTTGGGGCTCAAACTTGGTACCTTTCGGTACAAAAGCCATAGTATTACCCATCAAGCTACTGAGGACTGAGTTCGAGTGAAGAAGTGAACATCAATTTTTCGATACAGTTACATCCAACTGACGAGTCACAAAATAAGGTGAAACGATCATCCTGAGTTTCACTGCTAGCCACCATTCATCTTTGAGCATAGCTTCAAATTTTCATTGATTAGACAGCTTGATTAGACTTAAGTTGAAGCATCTGAATATTCCACACCTATAACTCAATCAGTAAATGAACATATTAAATACAATTCACTAGGGAATTAGCATGGAATCAAAGTTCTACTTAAATGATACGTCTTTATGAATTCATTCTAATTAATAATTTAAATCATCTTGAAACTGGGAAAATTTATCATTCACAAATTAGTGACTAGTACAAAGATGAAGGACTAAACATTGTGACTCATTGTTTTCTTTAAAACTTGAATATGATCTCAGTATTCAATAAACTAATCTACACTAATCAAGGTATGTTTTCCAATTGTAAGACCCTATGTCAGTCAAATCTTTTTTTATCTATGGTTCAGTGAACTATCCCGAACAGTACGTATCCACGATCCCGCACACGGGATTTGAACCCAGGACCTTCAATCTCGTACACGAACAGTGGTGCAATATCATGAATTTCTTGAAGTTAGATATTGACACCGTTGTACGCCGGCTGACTTAGTGGTCTAGAAGTTAAGCGTTCGTTCACGAGACCGAAGGTCCTATGTCCAAGTCCCTTTGGTATGGCATCGGTGATACACATTTCTGAACAAACCCATACTAGGACGAAACGGTTGTCGAATGTTTTCAGATTTTCCAATGATAGTCTAGCTTATATCTACTCATGAATTTAACTAGTAAAATCACTTAACTCACCATTTTTTTACACATCAACTGTGAGCTGATTCTCTAAATACTTTCAGATAAAATTGGTTCCTGTTGACTATCTCCAACCACTATCTTATCTCAACATAGTACACTCAATGTTGAGTCACCTAGACTGATGTCCACATTACAACTTAGTTGATATAATTCGATTTCCATTAAGAACGACCTATCATACATGACATTGATCACCACTCCATTATTAAATTAATTTCAATGTTAATAAGGATAAGACTATAATTTATGAACAAACCAATCAGACTGATGATAACAGATTATTATAGTGCAAAGCCACCAGTCAGAAGCAGCGAATTATCAATCGGACCAAGGACGCGTAAAACATGTGCGAGCAGCCTAGAGACCTGACTGTTCCTAGTGAACTAGACATGTATTGCAACCTAATTCTGGCTCTAAACCCACGCGATCGCTCATCCTTGGACACTGTGTAGTCATTGAGCCAACAGTTCGAAGACAACTCACTATTCAATGCGAGCTATCGATGTTTGAAGCTCACTATGAACGAAGATGCTGATTTTTTCACACATGTGGGTATAAAAGGATCCGAAAAGTTACCATTCATTATTCTTGTTGGGACATAACACAGATCTTAGATTCTGACACGAAATTCACTCATTCATTTGACTAAATACCATTTTTCTTCATTATATAGTTGATATTAGTTCATCATCATCAACAACAAAAAGCCTTAGATCTAAATCTTAACTCTAACCTTCAATTGTATATCAATAAACCTTATCCTTCCCACAGATCTATAACTCTTATTTAGTTCTAGTTGGTAGATGAACATTCACAAGTTTCATTTACCCTGGCTCAAAGACCTTCCATACTTTATATTTTCATCGTTTGTATAAATAAAGGATATCAATTCCAGAAAACAAAACTGAATACATAAATATAGTTTACTTACTTTACCTGATAATAATTATTCCTAACAACAATATGACTCATTTATACGGGTGTGGTTATAAGTTTAATATCACTAATCCCATAGTTTATTACTTGTCAACGGAAATGTTTATTATTAACTATAACTAAGGTAATAGTAAACTGTATATTTCATGAATCAACTTGAATAAAAACAACAACAACAACGACGATGATGACGACGACGACATCAACAACGACGATGATGACGACGACGACAACAACAACAAAATCGATTGAAAAAATGTAATCACGTTTTATTTTGTATAATTCAGTTTTCTTATTTAGATAATAATAAAAATGGA